CTGCGGCCACAGACCACGATCCAGCTCCAGCTCCCACCACCAACCCCTGTTAGGTACAGCTCCAGCTCCCACCACAACACCCCGATGGGGTGCTCTAGGCAGTCCCATCCACGAGCTCTGGGTGGGCTGCTCCGGGTCCCAGTCTGGAGAAGGGTCACAGCCGGCTGCTGGCCACATCCAGATCCCCCAGCCCACGTGGCTCACAGCAGAGCTCCCCCAGCCCACCACGAACCAGAGCCCAGGGACAGGCCACCAGCCAGGAAGTGGTGACCACAGACAGGCTGGGGAATGATGCATCCATGTCCTACCTCATCAAAGACTTTATTGACAAACCTCATTTCGCAATTAGCTGTTGGACAGGAAGGAGGATATTCAAGGACCGGTGGGCTCGGGCCACAGCGGTGTCAAGACCCCCTCCCTGTCCATTCCTTGTGGGAGCTGAGCAAGCAGCTCTCCCTGCTCTCAGGAAAGGCAGCGGTGGCGTCAGGCACTCTATGGGGACTAAGGGGAAGGGGTAGTTGGGGCAGCCACAGGAGCAGGCTGCACATCACCGATTGCTGACAGTGCAGACAGCTCCACTGTGAAAGTCTACAGCTACTGCAGCATTTCGGAGGGTCACTCGAGCTCCTGGGACCAGGCTCCAGGCAGCTGGTTCCTCAGCTCTTCTTCTTCAGCATCTCCATGTACATGCGAAGGGACTTCTGGATGGACTCTTTTGAAATGAAGCTGATGAAGTTCTGAACATCTTCCTCCCGGTGAGCTACCAGGCGGTCCAACACCGCCTTCCTCATCATGGACTTGGTGAGCTGACGGGCATAGTCTGTGCAGAGGAGAGAGAGGATGGGGAATGCGCACAGTCCTCAGCCCCGACCAGCTCTAAGCCACTGCCACCATGTGCAGGTCCCTCCGAAGGGAAGGTGCCACACACCAAAGGGCTCTTTAAACCAGCAGGGAAAGGTGTAAGGAAAACCTACCAGCTGGAAGCTGAACTGGACAAATTCTCATACAATAAATTATGATCTGTACCGCTCAGTGGGGAAATGACTGACCTACTGGGACAGATGACAAAAAGTTGTGCACTTCCTTCTCTTTGTGCTCTCCAGAGCCGACTCCAGTACACACCACCGGGCTCAGGACAGCAGTAACACAACAAAATTCTCCGCTATTTGGAACTGCTCCAGCTCTAAGCTCCCCCAACCCAACCCCTTCGACCTCTGGCAAGGCAGTCTGCTTGTGCCAAACACGCTGTACGAAACCCAGCAGCGCTGTCCCCTCGAGCTCATCCCGACAGCAGGCTCCAGGTGCCATTCCACACGAATACGTGGATGCTGCCGGAGCAGCACTGGCTGGTGGAGCTGACCGAGGCCTTGAGCACACGTCTGCTCACACACACACATAAAGCCACGTGCAGCAATGCAGCAGCACATCTGTTGCACAGATGTTGCATACACGCTCTCACTTGCTTCAACTGTGACGGTGAAATGATGATCAACCTCTCCATGCACTGGGAACCGCGAATCGCTCCAGCCTCTGTGTGCTACAGACACCTTCACCCGGACAGACTCCTCCTGGCTCTGATTTAGGGCTCTGGAGGAGGATCTGCTTGGTGCCTCCTGAAGTCAGGAGAGAGCAGAGATGTGCTCCCCACTCTCGGAGGTGGATGGTTTCACTCTAAGGCCAGGACAGCAGGAGAGAGAGCTGTTCAGGGACCCTCTGCCAAGGCTGGCACACAATGTGACATCCCATCCATTTCTGCCCAGTTTCAATCCGGTTTCTACAGAAAGAGCAGCTGAAGGCTGATATGTAGTTGCACCTCCATGCAGTGCTCAGGCAGTGGTATGGGATGGGACAGCTCAGGTCTAGCCCTGCCTGGTGGAGAGCCGTCTCCCAGCCCAGGAACCACGTGCTGCCAGTCACGGAGCCGCCCAAACACACGTGTGATGTCTGCGCCTGCTGTCTGTCCTCACGCCCCCACTGCCATCCCCAGCTCAGCAAAGTGCCGACAGTTGATCCAGACCACGAAGGCGGACTGGCAGCCACCCAGGCACTCTCGCCCAGCCTGTTCCCTCAACTCCACGGCAGCTTTCCTGGGTGACACGTTCACTGACAGACACAGATTCAGTTTATATCTGGAGCTCCGGCACCTCCAGGCTGACTCAGCAGGGCTGGCAGGGTGAGCCGAGCTGGAGCCACGTGCCCTGCACACCCAGCACGGCGTCCTCCTGCGCAGGGGCACCGGTAAACACGTCTCTGTTAGCCCAAGGCTGCCTGGACCACTGTGCTGAGCTCTCCCACCTCCCAGCCCCGGTACCTGTCCTTCCCATCCAGACCAGATCCCCTCTTCCCCAGCCGCAGGTGCTGCCCTTACCAGGAAGGGCCAGCCACTGTGCCATAACAGCCGCAGCCTTCTCCTGGAGCTTCTCCTCCGGCACCAGCTCGTCCACAAGGCCAAACTTGTGGGCCTCAGGTGCGGGGTGGAGGGCACCCAGCTGGAGGGAGCGTTCAGCAACTCGGTGTCCCACGACGTTCACAAATGTGTCCTTAAACCTAGAAGAGATGGGAGGAAAAATAATGGTCAGGGGAAGAAACGCCCAGCAGCAACTGCACTCAGACACCAAAGCTAAGAGCACACTTGGCCCCACTCCCCAGGTCTCTAAACAGCAGCCATGGGCTCAGCCACGCTGCGCAAAGTCAGGCGAGCAGAGCCATTTTTGGTACTACCCCAACAGAGTTCACCCCCTCTCCACAAGAGCTGCTCTGTTCACCCTCAGCACCCAGGTCCCAGCTGTGCCCGCTTGCTGTGACGTGAACGCTCCTTTCCAATAACACATTTACACGTTCTTAGGGCAACGAAGGGTCCATGCCTTAATATATTAGTGCCCCTACACTTCCAGAGATCTCCATAGCTATGGGATTTTGCAGGTGCACAGCCTGTACCCACAGAAAAACATATTCCCAGACAGCCTGACCAGGGAGATCTCCCAGTACTAGCTTTGGAGTCAACTGCAGAGTCAGAACTGAGATCCTCACTGGTGAAGGATGTGAGAATATTCTGCAGCTTGAAAGCTTTTCAGATACCTGCAGGATAGGACAGAGAAATGAGATGCTGTGTCCTGCAGCTGCAACTACCTGATCACTGACCCGTAAAACTACATCTCGGCCATCAAACTGATTAATAAACTCCTTCAAGACAAATTCTTTTGAGAGACCTACACGTGACACCAGAAGTGAGAGGCACTGGCCTACCAGAAGGGAGCCACAATGCCCAGCTTGGTTTCGTTCAGGCCGATGCTGAATTTGGGGTTCTCCGCCATGATCCTGTAGTCACATGACAAGGCAAGGAGACAGCCTCCTGCTGGGCTGGACCCCTGGCAAAGAGAAAGGAGGAGTGAGTCTGGGTCATGGTTACAACCATCCCTGCGCCTCCAGCCTCAGTTTCCTCGAGAGCAGGGGAGACACAGAGTGACAGAGCTGCCAAGGGCAGAGCAGATGTCCCCCCAGGCCTTTGGCCACCTGATTCAAAGCAGCCACTAAAGAAGACTTCTGATATGTTTATCAGAGTTTATCCTTTTATTTTTCAATGCTCTTTGTTTCTTGCACTTTCCAGTATGGAAATCTGGTGAATTGATCCATGTCACTCGGGTTGCAAACCCTGCAGAGGAGATCTGCTACGGCATTTTCTTGTAACCCTTCATGAGTTTTTAACCCTTCTTGAGTTTGTAACCCTAAAGGCCACATAAATAGTTCTGTCCAGGGACTGTGTAACACCTTCTGTCTATAAAACTTCGACTTGAGGTTGTCTTTGCCACGACTCAGTGCTTGCCTAGCCCTGCACAGGATGCCTGCGGGAAGTTGCCAAGAGACACAGTGCCTTCAAAGACAGTCTATGGATAGACAGAGAACTGTGAGCTGCCAAAGCGGCATTGCACTGAAAAACGAAAACCAGACACCGAGCAGGTAACAGCACATCTACGGACACCGAGATTCAGGCAGCACTTCCCTCCAGGCAAAGTGGAGGAGCAAAACTTGGTGAAAAAAAGGCTTATGACAAACCGCACTGCCCAGGGTCCGAAGCATCACTGCTCACAGGGTGGAGGACAAGTACTTGTTGCCCTGCGTGGCTGCCTCCCATCTCCTCCCCTCTGCTGAAGCAGTGCCATGGCCAAGCAAGTGACCCTGGACAACTCCTACAAGTCTCATCAGCAAGAAAGTGGCCGGTGGGCACGTGACAGGTGTCCTTTGGACTCCTACGCCAACTGCTCAGCTTCTCCAGCAGTTGTCTGCCATCGATGCCCCTCTGGGCTTTACCACTGGCCTACAGCCCTCCTCCTGGTCCTCCAGCCTGGAGGACAGACTCCCAGCCGAGTTCTCGGGGCAGGGTATGGCTCTTGCTGCACAAAACACTGCCAAGGGCACTCCAGTTCTCACTGGCAGGACACGAGTGCCGTGCAAGCTCTCTACCACAGCCGAAATGCTGCTACACTCCAGCAGTGCCTGCAGCTTTCACGGAGCCTGCAACATCCCACACTTCCATACCTTCCCACGCCCCAACGCACTGAGCTGACAGATCTGTACTTTGCCCAGACATCCCAACAAATACATCTCTGTGTTTGTTTCAGCACTGAGAAGCCTGATTTTTCGGCTCTCCCTGCCCACGCAGTGCAAACAAGCCGCAGCGAGGGACAGACCACGCAGGAAAGGCAGATCAAAAGGACGTACGTTGACTGCAGCGACTGTCACCATGTTGGAGCCGTACAGGCGGAGCCACGCCTCCTGCACGGCTCTCCAGAACTCAGCGTAGTGCTCCGTGCTCTTCCTGCACATCTCAGTGATGTCCAGGCCAGAGGAGAAGACTTTGGGAACAGCCTGGAATCAGGAAAATACAAACGTCACTGAGTCACTGCTCAGGGATGACCCTTTACCCCTCCAACAAGCTTGGCCGGCAGCCTAAGGAAAGGGAAAGCGATAGTTAAATATGACATAAACCAGGGTCTTTGGAGTTCTGAAACAACCTCCCCAACGCTCCCACAGCCTGGATCATCCCATCACCGTGGCCTGCAGGGCTGAGGCTCTGCTTATAGCACCATTTCTCATTATCAGGGTCCCTGTGCAGGTCCATCAGCCACACAGCACAAAACCTGTCCTGTCCCATTCCCAGGCACCACCTCGTACCCACGTTACATCCGAAAATAAACACCGGCTTCCCCTAACAGCTCCCTCCAGGCAGCTCAAGAGATTTCAAGAGATGTGTCAGGTTTGCAGTTAAGCAGCTTTGATTTTAATACTCGGTTGTTATTCTTCCGCTAGAAAAGGGCAGGGAAGAAAGCGCACAGCCCTTCCAAGAATCCCCTCCCCTCCTTCCAGAGCCGATCCAAGCTGCCTCCTGGCCCTCCTGTGCCTGTGACCAGGGAGCCAAGAGACCAAACATGAGCTGGGGCATGGCACCTGTGCCTGCCAAATTGCCCCGCAGCTCACACTCTGAACTCAGGACAACACGTACAGATGTGAAGATCACGCCTCGGCAGGCCCGGTCGTTCTCCAGCTTCTCCAGGCTTATATTAAACTCGGTGAGGAAGTCAAGGCTGAGGCTGTTGACTGGAGGGCTCTTGAACTTCATCGTGGCCACACCTGTGCCATGATAAACACAGAGACGTTGGCAGTTCCCTTCTCTCTGGGCTCACTAGGTAACGTTGAGCCTCTAGCTTCTATCACAGCAAACAACTCGTGCCCAGGAGACCACACACACATTTCTGGGCCAGCCTGGCCAGCACTGCAGGAAGGGCTCTGAGCCCTTGTCCCCTCCCAGATGGCACCACTCTACCCCAAAAGGTCCTCACAGAGTGCTTAGTCTGCGTGCTGCAGCCGTGCCCAGGCTGGGGACAGCATGAGGACGTGCCCAGGGGCCTGGCAGCCAAAGCAGGCTCTGGGAAGCCTCAAGAGGAGGCACCCCTTGTTCGGGGGGTGGCCCCGTGACGGCTATTCCTGGCAGCCAGGACACAGAAATCCCCAGCAGCTTCTCCCTGAAGGAGCACTTGCCATGCTACCAGGTCCCCAAAGCAGGGACCCCACAGAGGGCACGGGGCATGAGGTCTGCCCACTGTGACGGCTAGGGTTTGCCTGTGGCACCTCAAGTGCCTGTGACCAGGGAGACTCCTGTTCCCAAGTGCAGCTGAAGCTGGAACACCTGGGGCTCTGGTGGTTTCCCATGCCCAAGGCCACACGTGCCATGACCTGTGGGTTGAGGGTGACACCGCAGAGGTGCCACTTGCCGTACCTGAGCTCTCGTCCAGCTCCACCAGGATCTTGTTATTGCTGAAGGCACGACACGGGGCGAGCAGGAGGCCGGGGGGCTGCAGGGTGCTGGGGGGCTGCTGGGCGGCTCTGCCCCATGCCAGCGGCTGGTGGCAGAGGGGCAGCACACCTGGGGGGACAGAAGCAGGTAAGGCCGGGCAGGGCACAGCCTCCGTGGGTGTGGGGTGTGCTCCCCAAAACTGCTCTGCACGGACGGGGTGGGGACACGGGGGACACCCTGACCCACCGAG